AGAAATCCAATAGTTATGCAAATACATCTTTGTTGGCCATCTACAGACTCACACATGCTAAGTCTGGGAAAGCATTTGCTATCTGCTTTTAGAATACCTGTGGGATAAAGGCATTGCCTTCACACTCTTTCCCAACCATCAATGCTTGCTCTCTCTTTTTTTAAAAAAAAATTATTTATTTATTATGTATACAATATTCTGTATTCTGTATGCCTGCAGGCCAGAAGAGGGCACCAGACCTCATTACAGATGGTTGTGAGCCACCATGTGGTTGCCGGGAATTGGCAATGCTCTTAACCGCTGAGCCATCTCTCCAGCCCCCAATGCTTGCTCTCTTTAGTGATAAATAATTAACAAGAAAATATATCTGTATGGAATATTCCTTTACATTGTGTGAATGTATGTCACTGTGATTGGTTTAATAAAGAAACTGACTAGCCAATAACTGAACAGGATAAGTCTAGGCAGGAGAGCCAAACTGAGAATGCTGGGAAGGAGAAGGAGGAGTCACAAGCAGAAGCAGAGAGAAGCAAGATGGCCATGCCGTACTGCAAAAAAGTACCAAGCCATGTGGAAACAATAAAGGCTAATTTAAGTGTAAGAGTTAGCTAGTAATAAGCCTGAGCTATTGGCTGAGCATTTACAATTGATATTAAGCCTCTGTGTGGTTACTTGGGAGCCGCTCACAGGACAGAAACTTCTGCCTACATCTCTGCTCATTCTGCACTTCACGTGTCCCCTGAAGAAACTTCTTTCCTTCCTTCCATGAATATAGATGTCTCTATTTAAGGTTGTCTGCCCCAAGCGACTGTCATGGAAAGAAGTGATGTTTCATTCATTTTCTAGTTTCCAGGGCATCTCAGAATTCAAAAGCAGAATGAACGAGCAAGCAAATGAATGAATGGATGGATGGATGGATGGATGGACGGTACCACAGTTATACAACAGAGTGAGTTTGACGACTTTCATTCCTCCTTTAACCCTGTCTGTAAGGATGGTCCTGGCTGTAGATCTGTCTGTTCAGCCACTTAAAGCTGGAAGAAAAAAGTGGCTTCTGTGTCATGAATGAGCTGTGTTAATTGCAGAGCTGACACTGTGATGACTGGCCGATCCAGTTTTTCCAGATGCTCTAGCATCTTGGATCCACTGTTAGGAATCCTATATCCAACATCAAAGCCACTACAAAGGCTCAGATCTCCGTCACACTAGTCTTTTCTGTGCCAAGTGGCAACACATCTGGCTCTAGACAGGAGAAATCCCAGGGAGCCTGCGAGAGCTACCATCCTTCCAGGCCGGCAAGGAATAGGGGGCAATTTCAAACACACGGTCCTTAGGAAGGTGTTATCTTCAGTGGACAGCAGCGGGCTTATTCTGGGAGGAAGTAGCCCTTTACTACTGTCCAGTGAATTACCTCTGCTGCAACTGGAACTGAAGTCTTTACTGACCTCACACACTGGGAAGTGGTGGGGATGAAGAGCTAACAAGACTAGTTTCCTACATCCACATTCCCTTTGCCCCTGGGAGACCTCAGCATGAAGGATGAGTATATGATGAACTCATGGGGGATGAACAGGTACAAATAAGATATTGCCTAGGTGTCCATATTTCCAAGAGTGGGAACATCCCAAGAAGATGATGCAAAGAACTTACTGGGAAAAGAGAGGACCAGGAGAAAAATATACTACCATGGATTCCAGGGGTGGGGTAGGAACTGTCAAAGACAAGTTCCTGACCCCCACAAAGTCGCCTGGGTCAAACCTGGTATTGATCAGTAAAGAACTTGGTTATTCAGGGGTCCAGGCCCTAGTGTGTCGGATCTTCCATCTGTGGAGGAGAAGGAAAGTTTAGGGCAGTATAGACAGACATATCTTTGACCCTTATCTAAACATCTGTTGCCTGATAATCTCTGTATGTGAAGTGGAGACATGTTTGGACTTAAAAACATATAGGAAACTAAAGATATTCATTTTTCTCACAGAACCGATAGAAAAGTTAGGGCCTCCAAGGATCATTCCTAATTGAGATATATTTAGTTATTTCTTTGTTATAAAGCCACATTTTAATAAAGGTGCAAATAGCAGAATTATAACCATCCTGGGCAGAATGAAGGTAGTCTAAAGAGACACTTGTGCCCCTCCCCCTTAAATGATATACTTTTGAAATGATGGCTTCCAGGAAATTAGAATTCTCCCCAAAATCTCAAGCTGGAAGGAGCAGACTGAATTCGGTCTGGTACCAGCCAGAAAGGCACTTGTGCCCCAGGAATAGATTTCATACAGTTTAGTACGTAACTGCCTGCTTTCAGGACTCACAAAAGCAGAGAAAGAGATGACCATAAGGACCATGCCCTGACCAGAGACGCTTAGCTATGCATACTTCCTGTCGTTCATCTACACCTAAACCTCATGGCACATCAGGACCCTGAAGATGGACTGGGACATAGGAGGGCAAGCCAACAAACGACTTTGTTCCGGTTCCCAGTGTGGCCACATTGAGAAACCTTTCTCTCTTCATGGCCTCTTGTCTGTTTAATTGACCAACAGAGAATGGATGTCAGGTCTAGCTTGTTAGGGCCACCGAGGCCCAGGCTCTGAAGCTAACAAATCTGTTAAGCGCCTGGTACCAGCGATCACCACAAACTCCTTGTAGCTTCTCCATTTTAGCAAGTGCCCTTCTACTGCAAAGTCTATAAGCTATGCCTTATTTCTCCCAGGAAACTAGAAAGTAGCGTGTGTGTGTGTGTGTGTGTGTGTGTGTGTATTCATTCTGCTCAGGGTCCAATTTTGTTCTCCAAGCACTTTTTTTTCTTTTGCAAATTTGCTTTATTATTATTATTATTAATAATTTTGTGTTCTAATCTTCACAGAAGCAGAGACTTTTCTGTGCTTTGTCCAGTGTCTGCCCCAGGCCACAGGTGTAGTAGACGAGACATTCTGTTATGTGAATGAGAGGGTGACTGAGTGCGTGTATTGCACAAGAAAACAGTATTTTGCCAAGCGGCTAAAGAAAAGCTAAGCTAAATGTACACTTCGGGGCATGTAAAGGCTCGGTGTCAGGACATGTATTTGATCAAGATAAGGATTCTACAAATGATACCATTAAGGAGCTTTGTAAAGTCTTTGAAAATGTTAGTAACCGGTCAGATGGTGGTGGTGGTGTGTGCCTTTAATCCAAGCACTGGGCAGGGGAGGGGGGAGAAGTAGAGAAAGGCAGATCTCTGAGTTAGAGGCCAGCTTGGTCTACAGCAATTTCCAGGATAGCCAGGGCTACACAGAGAAACCCTGTTTCAAAAGCCAAAAACCAAAAAACCAAAAAAAAAAAAAAAAGAAGAAGAAGAAGAAGAAAAGAAAATGCTAGTTCCAGAAAGTGAAAATATATCTATAGAGTCACTTCAACGTACTGCAAGTCATATAAAAATATAAACACTGTTTGTCAATTTTATGGCTGAAAGTGCCAAATTATTGCCTAATGTTCAGGTCTATAACCCAACACCTTAGTTTCTCTGTAGGATGCAGAAATTGACGGTGGAAAGGACCTTTATTGTGGCTTAGCTATTTAGTTAAATAAGAGAGAAAGTGCAGACTTTCTCTCCACTGTGCCCATAGGAGAGCTTACATTTATAGGAAACCAAGAAACAGAGGACAAAAAATCAGTAGACTTAACTGTGAGACAGTTTAATTCATCTTCTCAGGGTAGAAAGACTTGACCCTATGTTGCCCCCACTGTCTCCATTCTCAGCAGTTATTGTATTTTAAAGATTCTACTTCTACAAAGCAACATATCTGTGTTAAATATGTTACACATCTTCAAAGGCCTGAAGGTCCAGTGTTTCCTAAAGAGACCTGAGGTGAGGAGTCAGGCAGACTGGAATACAGACCAACCAGCACACCCTTTTGTGCTTCCTGAGAGGTTGAACCAAGAGTGTCTGGATTTCAAGGCCATTCTGGATTACACACCAATAGATAGATATGTAAATAAACAAATGAATCAGGAAGAAGATCCATGTGGTTGGGCAAGAGAGCCTTGCATTCCTTTAGTACCCTCAGGGCTGGGAACCAAGACTTACAGGAATGGTTGGCATTGTGCTCACTGGGCTACCTGAAGGAGTCCTCAACACGAAGTCAGAAACATCGAAACCTATTTTAGTTCACCTGTGCTGTCCTAATGAAATACCTGAGCCTGGGCAATTTTAAAGGATGGACATTCATGTCTCCTGATTGTCAAGGCCAGTAAGTCTACAGCCACATGAGCCACACCTGCGGCAGGTTCTAGCCTGCTTCCTCCGAGGTTTGAGCTGATAGGCAGACTAACCCAACCTCTGCATGCTGCTTTCTTTGTAAGCCTCTTAACCCCATCCCTGAGGAGGGAACCTCTAATGGCCGCACAGATTAATGCTATCCCAGTGGCTGAATTTGGGGGTGGAAGGACATATTTAAACCATTACTACCCCAAATGTGTTTGAATGGTTTAGTTATTTGGAAAAAGGGAAGTTCCATGATTGGCCAACGTTAAGGCCCTTGCAGAGTCTGGTAAACTCCCATCATCTGAGAAGGGAAGCCTCTTTTGCTGAAAACATTCTCTGATCTCTTGGGTGAATCCGCTTAGTCGCATCAGGTATGCAAGCAGATGAGCCGAGACCACAAGGGATTCTGTGCATGCAAGGATGAAGGTGTCTGGCCTGTGTGTTTCTGGTTTAATTTCCTTAAAAAAAATCTGTCCATTAAGTTTGAATAAACATCTGAATTCTACCATACTATCTCCCCTCAAAATTCTTAATGCCCGATATAGGAACAGCTGTGGCAAGAATTAGTTGCTCTAAGCTTTTGGTCCGTTTCCAACCTCGATATAGCTCACGCCCTGTAGGTCAAAGAAAGAAGTGATGTAATGCATTTAGCAGGGCCACTTTAATTACAATGGAATGGAAGGGGAGGGGCCACCGGCGGTGACAAGTTTAGCGCGTGACTTGGTCCAAGGATGCAGGAAACAAAAACATTACCAACCATTGGCTGCGTCCACCTCGGACTCGGGTTTCTAGCGCCAGGTCTGGAACCTGGGAGCGCACGTTTCCGGGGCAGGGGTGGCGCTGTCCCGTCGATCGTCAACCTTGAATACACACGCTGCACGCAGGCTCTCGCGGGCGGACAGCGTCCTCCCCGCTGGGATGGGCGTGGGGCTCAGCGCTCCGCAGACGGTCCCCACCGGGCTCGCACGAAGCCACCCGCGGTCACCAGGGCTCGCAGCGAGTGAGTCGCGCTGTCGTCATTCATTCGCAGTGTCCGGAGCGTCCTTCCAGATCTCCGTCCCGACGCGCAGTATCCACGAGCGGTGATCTCGGACTCGGCAGCTGGAGACCACGGCGGCCTGGGGGCTCGGGTCCCCGCACCAGCTCGCCCTTGAACGCCGCCGCCCCCCGCGA